GTCAAAGTCTATTTTTGGTATTCCCTCGGGACTTCCTTGTTCTGCTCCCCTTTTTCTCAGCACATTTTTAATGCAGTTTTTGTGGTAAAATTAGGTGCCTCAGCTGATATTCGGGTCAGCTTATACTCGAGTATATATGGTAAAAGCAAATATGACCAAGGAAAACAAAACACGCAATCATTACATTTGCCTACAATCACGAACTAAAATCTTGTTTACAATATTTAATTAACAAACATTAAACTAAGCTCAGAAGAGACTATGAAAAAAGGAGTTGGCTGTCCACTTTGGAGGAAGTAGCCACTGAAAACCTTATGCATAAATTGATGAATTTGAATGATGGTGCTGGTGAAGACTATTAAATGCACCACGGACTCCCAAAAAGTCAAATAAATTTGTCTTGGAAGAAGTACGGCCAGAATGTTCCTTAGAGGCAAGGATGGCAGGACAGAGGTGACTCCCTAGAGAAGGACATTAGGCTTGGTAAAGCAGCAGGGCAGCAGAAAAGAGGAAGGCCCTGGAGGAAATGGACTGACAGTGGCAGTGGGCTCAGGCATAGGAACAACTGTGAGCATGGCACAGGACAGGGTAGCGTTCAGTTCTGTTGGGCATACATACGGTCACTATGGGTCAGAACCAACTTGATGGCACCTAACAACATGTTCTCTAAGGCTAATGAAGAAGCTAAAACTTTCCCAAGTCATCTTAATTATGGTCTAGGTCTAACTACTATATTATGCGTAAGGATATAACGTGATGAAATATATTTTTAAGTAGCAGGTAAAAACATCTTCAGAAAGGAATCTCATCTTTTCTATCAAGTATTCTGAATATTTTAAAGCGTCCTTAAAAAATAATCATTGGCTGTCTACCATTTGCTGCGTACACACACTCTATTATTACTGGCATTTAATGCTTTATGTGCCATGGACTCTTCAAAAAACAAACAAATCTGTCTTAGAAGAAATACAGTCACAATGCTCGCTAGAGGCAAAGATGGCGAGACTTCTCTTACATAGTTTGGACATGTTGTCAGGAGACCAGCCCCTGGAGAAGGTCTGCTTGGTAGGGGGGTGGTCAAAAAGAGAAGGCCCTTGACAAGACGGACTGACACAGTGGTGGTGAACAGTGGGCTTGCACGTAGGAACAACTGTGAGGATGGCACAGGACCGGGCAAGGTTTCATTCGATGTGTACATGGAGTCACTAAGAGTCAGAACTGACAAAGGCACCTCACAACGTCTGCTACACTGCACATTCTCTGAGAGTCAATCCACTTTTGGGTATGGAAAAGAATGGTCCTCAATAAATGTTCTATGTGTGTGTGTGGGGGTGTGAGCATGCACATGCAGAGGAGGTGGGGCCCAGGGGAACGACACGAACATAAGGAGAAAGAAACATGTTTTAATAAAGAAATGCCCAAAGGTGATTTTTTAAAAGTTTAAATTCCTTGTTAATATAAGATATGGCAAGCTATTTGTTCATTTTTTCTCCCCATAGCTTAAAATACCTACATGATATCATTGCTCATGGTCTCTGCTAAGGCCCCATTTTTATTTAAAAAACAAAACCCAATTTGAAACAAGGCTCCAAATCATAAGGTAAAAATTCTGGTGTGCTATCTTACAAAGATTTACTTACAGATATCTCTTTCACTTTGTTTGATGATTCTTTAAACCTCTGTATATCCATGCTATCTCTGTGTCCTTTAATAGCAAGGAGAAAAAAAAGATTACATTAAAGATCTTTGTTTCCCCTTGTCTGTTAAAATAATGTCATTGCCTTAAAGGTATATAACAAGTGACTTCTTACATTTTTTCCCTCCTCTAGTCCAGGTCAAAACATCGAAAATATGTGCCAAGAAGTTGGCTAAAATCAGCAGTTGAGTTTATATTTACATAATGATAAAAGCTAAAGGTCTCATGAAAGAATCTAATATATAACCTGCAACAACTGGTCCTTCCGTGTCCAGAGGAAAGAGGAGTAAAGAAAGTCAAAGACACAGGGAAATAATTACTTCAAAGGGCTAATGGAGCACGTGAACCCTCAGCTGCCACAACTCTGAGATCAGAAGAACTTACTAGACGATGCTTGGCAACAAGTGCTGATCACTTTGAAAGGGATCACAACAGAAGGGCCAGGATACAGGGGGAGACAAGTATGGACTCAATCTCAAAGTCATAAAAACAAAACAAAACTATACAAGCTCACTTGGTCTGACAGAAACTTGTAGAGCTCCCAGGACTGTGGCACCTTAGACACCCTTTAAGGCTTGGAACCAAACTCCCCACCATAGCTCAACTTTCAGCCATAAAAAAGACAGGTTTTAAAGGTGCACAAAGACACCAAGGGTGGTATGTAATCCTGAGAGCAACCAACCATGGGGGAGCAAAAGGACACCATTGGCTCAAGGATAAACTTTGAAGACAGGGAAGGACTGGAAAGAAGGGCAGAGGGGAACAGTAACCACACAGAAGTACAAGAGTGCTGTGACACTGTGAAGATTGCAATCCAAACCACGGATCAAAATATGCATGAACTATTTAACACAAACCCAACTTGCTATGTAAACTTTCACCCCTCTCTCTCCCTCTCACAGAACAATAAATAGTTTGAAATTTAAATAGAAAACAGGGAAAAGGAAAGGGCTTACTATTAACGTAGGTGTACTTAGAGACACTGTAGTTTTAGACCACTGCAACAAAGCAAGTCACATGAGTATTTGGGTTTCCCAGTGCATGGGAAAAGCTTTGTGAGCACTACATAAGCAATAGCATTGTGAGATGTTGTGAATTACCAAAATATGGCACAGAGACACAAAGTGCTCACATGCTATTAGAAAAATGCTGCTACAGATTTGCTCAATGCAGGGTTGCCACAAACTTTCAATTTGCAAAAACCTTTCAATTGCTAGCTTCTGTGAAGCGTTAACATGCAGTACAATAAAATGAGGTATGCATGTAATAAGAATATAAAAGCTCTATGTACTTGTACCAATATGAGTGAGCTTTGAAACGCTTGTGCAAAACTGGAATTAAATAACAAAGGAGTTTTCCCACAAACTCTGTGAAGCCCCTATAGTGTATACGGGGACACACACACACACACACACACACACACTCCCTAGAGCTAATACATCAAGAGTCTAAAATAAATTTAAAAACAATAAATTAGGATATATTTTACATAGAGTTTGTCTCTAGATCCATAGAGAACTCCACTAAGCGCAGCAGTAGAGAGTATGAGGCTTTTTTTTAAAAGTAAGGGGCTTATTGCCTAGATAACATGCAGGATTGACCTTCTTGGTGCCTATGGAGATTTTGAACGGGCTTATTTGAACAATTGCTAAGCATGTTTCAAGACTAGAAAAGTGTACAAGTTGGGAAGGTTAGAACAAGTGTTAAAGACAAGTTTGGGAAGGCACTCAATGGGAAATTTAAATCATTCATACCCTGGAGCATTCTGGTTATGCTCAAACTTCTATTCTGGGACCCATGTTGTATTCTAAGGATTCTCTAAGTATTTCACCTTTACTAATCCAGTAGGAGAATGTTAGGACACCATATTCTCTCAAACATTAGGGTCCTAGCTTACTCTATGAAGTATCCCCTCTTTGATGTTTTCTTCCATATGGCAGACTGCCAGCATTTAATTATACTTTTAAGCCTTCATTACCATTAAAAATCAAAGGAAAAAAACCTCATCATCTAAGCCACAATTCTAGCTATTTTTTCCTTCTTGCCTTTACTGTCAAGCCACCCCTGGCTCTGTTCTCTCCTTCCATTAGACACTGCACTACAGCCTGGCTTCTTCACTTCCCACCTCTTTCATTCAAAGTTTGCACTAAGGCCACTAATAGGTTACCAGTGCGAAAGTAAGTGTATACTTCATCATTGCCTATTATATGTAAGGCTCTGAGGAGCATTTCTTCCTAAAAGGTCTTCCTTTGTGGATATGTAAGTGGCAGGTCATCAATACCTTTCTACTGTTTTGCAGGTACCTTGCACTTAGAAACGTCTCTTGTTTCTTTAGATAAGAAAGAATCAAATTCAACTGAAGAATCTTAACCAAAGATAGTGCACATTTTCCAAGTCACTGTTATTATAAAAAAAGTATCAAGGAGAAATGTGCCAATCTAACTAGTATAGATCAACTCAACTTATTCCCTCACTTTTGGTTCCTATATATTTTTTCTATAATTTATGAAAAGGCAGTACACTTGTCACACAAAAGTAAATGTTTTAATTAACTACTTTTACTTGTAAGGTGATAATTACAATAGACATTATCGATATAAAAATACTAAGTTTGCCAAACTTACCTATAAATGCTCCAAATTCGATATTATCTCCTTCTGCAGCTTTAGCCCAAACAATCTCTTGATCTTTGGTTACAGTTTCCAACTGGCTTTTGCAACTTGGTTGGGATGGTGTACTAACAAAAAATTTGGTTGGAGGGGATGATAGATGTGGTATGCTATTAGATGAATTACCTAATTTTTGATTTTTATTAAGTATTTTTAAGATTTCTGCACCGTGTATTCTCTGTCGCAGCTCTGGAGGCGAAATAGCACTTGGGAATAAGGCACCACAAGAGGAACCAGCCTCTGGAGAATGGAATTCTTTCTTCTGGGGTATTGCAGGTAAATCCTGACCAAATATGCTACTTTGAGGACCTCTTCCATCTTTCATACACATATTACTAAAGAAAGGATTATTACTTTCAAGACCATGCTGAGGAAGTGAAGAGCTATGTTTTTTCCACCCAGAAGGCCTTAAAGGACCATCTTCAATAAGATTTTGGGCCAAATGTTTAGAGATGCTCAATTCTCTTGTGATTTCATTGTGAACTTTGCTAGCTTCTGAAGCTTTCTGGGCAGTGAGTGTTTTTAATGTATCTACAGTCAGGGCTGAGAGATCTTGCAAATGACCAATTTGAGAATCTAATGAGTGCAATGATCTTTTTATGTAGTTGACACGATCTCCAACTTCTTTAATCTGAATACACATCTGCTCCACTCTAGAGGGAAAAATTAATGTTAAGATTTTTGTAATCTCAATAAATTATGATAAACTTAGAAATTTGACATATACTTAAACAGGTAAGATAGAAAATAAGATGGTTATTAATTTATACAAGGCACACTTTATGTTTAGGAACTATCGATTGCTGGTTCTATCATAATGATACACAAAGTTTTAAAAACCACTTTTGCTTCACAGGTTGTTTCATGCTATATAAGTCAGAGTAACACACACAAAACATGTGAATGACATGACATAGACATAAACACCATCTTAAGAGGGGCGCACCCAAAAATTCCTCAAAAAATTAAATGAAAAGATAATGGAATTTTTCCACAAGTTTTTTTTTACAGTTTCAATCTTATCTCTTACTCTCTTATGACAAGTTTTTTGATGCCCCTTATATTATACAATGTAAGTAATAAGCATGCCCAAATGACAGGAAACTGTTGTTTTCAAAAACAAGGCTAGTTTTACTCTTTCCCTGCACCCTTAAAAATGAGCATGACTCTTCTCTGTCCTCTGAAACTAGAGGAAAAACACAAGAGACAAACTTATTTAATGTATTCTAAGAACTGAAATGTCTCCCCATATACAATGCAAAACTATTACTAAACTTATTTGACACACAAAAATTGGATGATGACTACAGGTTACTAGTAGAAGCCATTCTGACACATAACCAATTATAACTAAAGTACTCTGAACCTTTCAAATGTGACACGGATTCTCTCTTCACTCCCCGAGTAGAATTTGTCATCCTTTTCATTAAAATACATCTCAACACACTGCTCTTCAAAGTCATGAAGCTTCTTTTGATCTTCTTCTGTTAAGAATAATTCTAAAAGGAAAGATGAAAAAAAATTCAATGAAGGGCTATCAATCAATCAAATTTTAGCTTATAAATTAGTTTTTGGGAATTATTTAGGATTCATAATTATCTATAATATTTTTTCAACTGCTGTGCTTCCAAAGCATCACATTAAGTATCTCTTTGTTCTTGACTCACAGTGTGATGTCAGCAAGTGTCAGTAGTTCCTCCTCTTCTGATTTCTTTTCTACACACAACCTTCCTCTCGTCTTTCTCACACCTCTCTCCTCACAAATAGAGGTAGAGAAATGTAAAAAATGAACACAGTAAGTAACCAAACAAAAATTCATTGCCAATGAGTTGATTCCAACTCATAGTTACATTCTAGGACAGAGGGAACTGCTCTTTGGGGTTTCAAGACTGTAAATCTACAGGCGCAGATAGCTTCCTCTTTTTCCCATGGAGCACCTGGTGGGCTTGAACTACTAACTTTGCAGTTAGGAATGCAACCCGTAACCCACCTGAGTATAATGGGAAGAGCAACTGTACAATCTGGAGCTGTTGGTGATTAGTCTCTAGCAGTGTACAGAATGCATTAAGCAGGATGGCTTACAAAGCAAAAGTATCCTGGTTTAAATCATCATTTTAATAAAACAAATGGAAATTTTATATTAAAAATAAGTTCAATACTAATTCCACTTTATAGAATCACTATACTTAAAATTATTTTATGCTTAGGCTAATTAAACAAACGTCTTTATTATAATACTAACCAACTAAATCTAATCCAACCTTTAGCCTATATAGTGCTGATATTAAGTGATCAAATGAAAACTTTTGCCTTAATATATTTATACTTACTTGGTCCATCTGAAGTCTTATCTTTTTTTCTTCTCTTACATACGCAGCAAAACAAAGAAACTATATGGCTAAGAATGATAAGTGGAGGAGGCAGAACTGGTTTCTCATGATAAGCCATAATGAAATGATAACGTTGATACTTCCATACAATGTTGGAGATTGCCTTCACTTGGAAATAGACATTGCTTGAATAAACAAAGAATAAAAAATAAAAAAAACTTAGCCAGCCATATTGTAAATTTATAAATATTTAAATACTAGAGATATTATCATCATTCTGTCCTACATAAGAATTCAACGTATACCCTAGCATCAACAAGACACAAAGGCAAATGAGAAACTAGAAATAGTACGTGCAACAAGTGAAAGGCAAACGGTTGATAACGATGAATGCCTTCATCAGAAATGCCCAGAAAAGTAGAGCACATGATTTTAACTTTTAAAAATGATATGACAATGGCTCAAACCAAGAACCAAACTCACTGCTGATTTTAACTTAAGAGAGATCCCATAGGGCAGAGCAGAAGCATCCCCGTGGGTTTCCGAGACTGTAATTCTTTTTTTTTTTGGGAGTGTAGAAAGGAGTAGTAGAAAGGCTCATTTTTCTAATGCGAAGCAACTGGGGATTTTGAACTGCTGACCCTTGAGGTTGGCAGCTCAATGTGTAACCCCTATACCACCAGGGCTCCTCTAAAAATGGCTAAAACATAAAAAATATCGAATTTCGATAGTAGACAACAAAATAAATGCAAATAAAAAGGTCTTTTTAACGTAGTATCAAGTTGTCAATCATTTAAATCTAATTATACTCAGTGTTAGCAGTGATTTTGGGTAACCAGGCCCATTTTGATTTATGTACAAAATACTCTAAAAATGTTATGTGTGTACATACATTGAGCAATTCTACTTTTAGAAAGACAAGCTAGGGAAATACTGAAAAATTTCTCAAAAGGCAACTACAATCTGGTTTTGTGACTCCTGGGAACAAAAATAACACCTTAATTGAACAATAAAACAGTTTGAAAACTTATGGGTAGCCATTAAAAATAAGTTGGGGAAGAATACTGATTGATATGGGATAATGTTCATGATGTTCTATTTAGTTGAAAGCAGTTCAAAAAAAGGTTTTATTATTTTTTAGGGAAAAAACCTCATAAAATTGATATTTATATCAAAATATTAAGAGTGGGAGTATTTGCTTTTCTGTTTTGTACTGAGTGCATATTCTATCACAAAATATAAATATAGGTCTAATTAAGAGAAAAATTTCTTGGTAAAAGACAATAAAGTTTCAAATTTAGATTTCATTGAACTAGAAAACTCATGTTTGCTCATTTGTACTTTTTCAAAAAACACTTTTCATAATATAAGCCACAATAAAATTTTTAGATCTCCAATTCTGTATAATTCTTATGAAGTAAGTAGGACTGAGCCCTGGTGGCATAGTGGTTAAATGTTGGGTTACTAACCAAAAGGTCAGCGGTTTGAAACCAACAGCCACTCTGTGGGAGAAAGAGTAGGCTTTCTACTCTATGAGTGACAGTCTTGGAAACTCTGTCTTAATAAAGGGTTGCTATGAAGTGGAATCGGCTCAATAGTAGCAAGTTTGGTTTTGTGGTTTCGTATGTTAGATTATCTTATTATAAGAAGCAATTAAATAAAACACTTACTTGAAAAACGCAATAAGAAGATTAACCATAATGATATACTGTACAAAGAGGTAGACAGCTTGAAGAAATGGGGTCAACCAAGATCCAGGGCCACAGAGCCACGGGACAACGGAATCATTTGCACATGCTGGGGGTCAAAAAGAAAAAGAAAATTAAAAACAAAAAACCAAATCAAATATAGTTAGTTTCTAAACAGTGTTCATTTAAAAGCAGTCCAGCCTATGATGAAATCCAACTTATAGAAAACTTCTACTTGCCCTTTTACATTATGTAAACCTGTCCTCACTTTGAAAAATCTAAGTAACCCCTACCTAACCCTTCTTGCAACAAAAACTGCAGTACAATCCCCTTCACTTGTTCCACATGTATTTTAAAAAATCTCTAGGGGCTTTGAGTCTTTTCTTGCTCTAAAACGCTAAATACGAACCAGATGCACTTGTTCTGACTTATCTACCAATTCGACTTTAGGGCTTAAGACATTTAGGAACAGATCTTAAAATCCAGAGACTGCCTTTATCACTATTTCACTTTCAAGAATTTTTGATTAAGTAAACATCTGTTTCACAGATGCCTGTGAAAACTTTGGGGCAAGCAGCCACCGGAATGCTACCTATCAAGTAAAGCAAAAACAAAAACAAAATAAAGGAAAACCAATTAAGGTAGGGTAAGGATTAGAATGAAATAATCATGAATTCGTGATAGGTTTTATTTAAATATTTACAATACACTAAGAATTTAAATACTTAGTGTATATGAATTGTTTTGATATATATTAATGAAAGTCTCCTAATAGTTGTATAATTCCTTTGAAATACCTGGTCTATAGATAATACATAAGCCCCTTAAACACATTTATGAATCTATTTCCATTCTACTCAGAGAAACGGGATGAAGCAAGATTCAAGAAAGAGAATGCTTTTAAACAATTACACACAGTTCCCAAGGTACAAACACCTGACTTATGCTCAACCTATAGTTAGGGAACAAGTCCATTAAGCCTATACTACAAACTCAAAGATAAACGGAACGGGTCATAAACAGGCACTAATTTATGAAACACTTCAAAGCATTATTATTACAATAATATTGTTAAAGATGTTTTCATGTATCCGAAAGTTCTGATGCACAGAAAGGTAGACTATATGAGGGCACTTCAAAAAGGATGTTCAAAAATTCCATTATCCACAAACTTTTTGAAGCCTCCTCATGTAATTATATATTAAAATAAATACTTGGCTGATATTGTCATACCTAATTATTCCAACATACAAATTTCACTTAAAGAGAGACTTAGATATGGAACTCATTTGTAATCAGTGAACTGCTTGTGTATAACTAGAACCACATATAGAAAAACAGACAATAGACACCAGAATGACACTAATCAGGAAGCCATTAAACACAAAATTTGACCAAGCTGATAACACCTCATTATTGTAACCATTATCTGATAGCAACTAATAAGCACAATCTTTTCCCTATATCGAGACCTTCTGATGTGATTACTTACAGAATAAGTGGACAGTAAGCAACCTAAGTAATGGCGGGGAAGGAGAAGGCTGACAGGAAGAAGGAAGTAAACTTAAATATTCAACAACTCACATAGAACGTCTTTTTAAAAATTGTTAGCATCACCTATGCTCACTAGTTATCTAGTCTTATTAAGACAATATGAGATTCCAACATACATAATTAAATTGTACAGTGGACTTAATTTCTAAGTTCTCTTTCAAGCAGCTAGTCAATGGGGATTAGGCTTCAACAAGAGGGCAGTTGTAGGCGTGCTGATCTATATTGAGAGTTATCATCTCATGTATTACAAAGGCAGAGAATGGTTTTACAGTTCTATTGCAAACTTGATATTCTCTTCAAAACCCAACATGTTGCAAACTCTTCAAGATTCACAGATTATTTTTGATGCTAACATTGTAAACATTCAATATCCAATCCATCCTGATTTGTCTAAACTAATCATGTCTCTTCACTTCTCTTGCTAAGAGCAATGTCTTAGAGATAGACAGGATGAAGCCATTTTGAACACCAAGGGCAGGTTTAATAGGCTTGTTCTCGCAAAAGACCCGTTTCCCTCCTAAGTGGACTGTGGAAAGATAGCATCTCTTTCTCCTAATGCTAATGGCAGAGTCTTAGTGATCACAATGGTAAGCAGCAGACAGTGTACCACAGAAAAATGAGACAGAAAGGTACAGAATTCTGAACTTCCCATGCAAACAGAAAAATGTTATTGTTCAAGTGAAGATTAGATCAGATTTTTTTAAATCATTTTATTGGAGGCTCGTGCAAGTCTTATCACAATCCATCCATCCATCCATTGTGTCAAGCACATTTGTTGCCATCATCATTCTCAAAACATTTGCTTTCTACTTGAGCCCTTGGTATCAGCTCCTCATTTTCTCCCTCCCTCCCCCTGATAATTTAGAAATTATTATTATTTTGTCATGTCTTACACTGTCCGATGTATGCCTTCACCAGCTTTTCTGTTGTCTGTCCCCTAGGGAGGGGGTTATATGTAGATCCTTGTGATTGGTTCCCCCTATCTACCACACCTTCCCTCACCACTGGTTCTGAGGGATTCATCTTTCCTGGATTCCCTGTGTTTCCAGTTTCTATCTGTGTCAGTGTACTTCATTTGGTCTAGCCAGATTTATAAGGTAGAATTGGGATCATGATGGGGAGGAGGAAACATTTAAGAACTAGAGGAAAGTTATATGTTTCATTGGAGCTATACTGCACCCTGACTGGCTCGTCTCCTCCCTGCGACCCTTCTGTAAGGGGATGTCCAGTTGCCTACAGATGGGCTTTGGGTCCCCAGTCCGCACAGTTCAGATTTTCATTATTTATAATATCTTTTTTCAATTAATCTTTGTTAGCGCTCTTGTAGGGATTAAGTTGGTAATTTTATCACTTTGGAAAATATACATTACTATAATGTAATAAATGACTTTTAAAAAGAAAAAAAAAAACATTGTAAGAGGAATGCATAAATATTTGTAAACCTAAATCCTTACCATTAATTTCATATGCATAAACTTCACCAAAAATCATCCAGTATGGATGAAAAACGATATCTTTTGCAAGGTTCCAAGATGGTGGTTCTCGAGGATAAAGTATTGCCTTTCTGGGAACACCAAAACTAAGTAACACAAGAGCCATAATCACTACAATGTAGAACATATTGGCTACCTGTTTAAAAACAAAACAAAAAAACATCGTTGAAATACATATAACATTTTAAAATGATAATTTTTAACTCTGAGTTTCTATTACTCCTAAAATTTCATTCAGAAAAAATCTCCTCAAAAAAAAAAAATCTCCTCACTATATAAAACTTTAATGTCTAGGAGATTATGTAAAACATGATCTGTGAAGCTAAAACAAGCCATGGGCATCTTTATATCCATTTAATGAACCATCTCACTGGTTGACAATGTAATTTGCCTATGGCTAGGATATATGGAGATTCTTTTAAAATGTACAGAAATGTGAAAAGATTTAAGGAAATAAATTTCAACAGCCTCAATTTCCTTAAGGTTCTTTCTTGAAACTGCTGTACTTTAATAACAGAAGTGCAGCTTCTCTTTACTACTTTCCTTTTAATAGCCGTCCTTTGTCTACTTCACAAAATAAAGCATATTTTTCAGCTACTCTCAATCCATGGTGCCTGTCCTCAAGTCTATGCCTAAGATCAAGTTAAACAACAACTGAATTATTCATATGGATGGTTAAAAAAAAAGTCACAATATATTAGTGAAGAGGAGCCCTGGTTGCACAGTTGTTATTTATTGGGCTGCTAACCCTTAAGTCAGGAATTGGAAATCACCAGTAGAAAGACAAGACTTTCTATTATTGTAAAGAGTTACAGTGTTAGAAACACAAAGGGGCAGTTCTACCCTGTCCTATATATAGGGTCACCATGAGTCAGAATCAACTTGATGGCAAATGAGTTTGGTTTGAGTTTGGTTTATTTAAGTGAGAGTCTGTTGCAATTTAGGTTACAACTCTCATTAATCTTCAGCAAAATGAAGAGTCTACCTACTAGATCATTGAATAACAATTTTTGTTGTTAAATCATGTGATTTGGGGCATTTTTATTCAGGAATCCAAGAATTCAGTAGCATGCCATGGAGCAACTTTAATTCCCATCTATTTCTTTACTTACTATTTATAGCTAAAAAAGTGAGCATCATCTCACTCTAGTGACACTCATCCACA